GAGTCCTAGCTTACAGTGAAGTGCAGTGAAAGACGACGGAGCCAGCAGAGAACTCAGTTTGTAGGATTTTGCTCTGCATCTATCACAGATAGATCGTGCAAAAGTACCTTTATCTTGGCATGAATTATCTACCTTAAGTGTCTTACTTTTACTTGGATAAATGTGTAAAATCACAACTGTTAATTAGTTTTAAGCCCCCTTTGTCAAAATAAGCTGTAATCAAGACCGTAAGTGGTTTTCTGGTTGAATAACAATGGGAGTAATGTGACCAGCTCGCAAATACACACAGGTGTGTGGATTGACTTCAGAGGATTAAGAGTAGCTAATGTATCAAGAAATTGCAGAATAATTAAAAGTTACTGTGATGCATTCAGAAGCCCACGCTGCTGCTGTTGCACATTGAGGACATCATACCAAGTCGACCATCGTGTGACAATGGCACCCTTTGCTGGATTCCTCTAGTTAAGTCATTTCTCTCTCAGAGTATTTTGTCTGACAACTTATTTCCTGACCACATTTGGTTTGACAAATCTTTTTCAGAAGGCTTTTTGGTTTGACAGCAATTTTTCTGATGACATTTTGTGTGACTATTTTTTCCTGATGACTTTTGGTTTGTCAACTTTTTTCTTTAAATTTGGCTTGACAACTTTTTTCCTGATGACATTTAGTTTGACAATTTTTTCCTGACAGCTTTTGGATTGACAACTTTTTCCTGATGGCCTTTGGTTTGAGAACTTTTTTCAAAAAAGATTTTGATTTGACTTTTTTTTTTCCCTGAAGCTGTTTTTTCTGATGGCTTTATTCCTGAGACTTTTTTGACTAACATTATTTAGTCAGAAGTCTGATGGTTTTTTGATTGAAACCCAGCATGTAACCTACGCCCTAAGTTTAGACGTGAAGGACAAAGACAAGAAGAAATACAGCAGTTTCTGAATTGTGTTTCATGTGTTTCTGAAGTCATTTCTATCTAAGAGTATTTTGTCTGACAACTTATTTCCCGACCACATTTGGTTTGACAAATCTTTTCCAGAAGGCTTTTTGGTTTGGCAGCAATTATCCTGATGACATTTTGTGAGACAATTTTTTTTCCTGATGACTATATGTTTGACAACTTTTTTCCTGACAGTTTTTTGTTTCACTGCTATTTTCCTGATGACATTTGGTTTGACAACTTTTTTCTTTAAATTTGGCTTGACAACTTTTTTTCCTGATGACATTTAGTTTGACGATTTTTTCCTGACAGCTGTTCGATTGACAATTTTTTCCTGATGGCCTTTGATTTGAGAACTTTTTTCCAAAAAGATTTTGGTTTGACTTTTTTTTCCTGCGAAGCAGTTTTTTCTGATGGCTTTATACCTGAGACTTTTTTGACTGACATTATGTAGTCAGAAGTCTGATGGTTTTTTGATTGAAACCCAGCATGTAACCTACGTCCTAAGTTTAGAAGTGAAGGACAAAGACAAGAAAAAAATTTGCAGTTTAAAAGGCATCCCTTCAAAAATAAGCCCTCCTACAAACACATCTGTATAGAGAAAAAAAAAAATCACGTTTTGCTGCAATCATCAGCAGCATTGGTGGTTCAGTGGTAGAATTCTCGCCTGCCATGCGGGAGGCCCGGGTTCGATTCCCGGCCAATGCAGCAGCTTTCTTTTCCCCCATAATCCTGACCAGAAACAAAGAATTAATACCATTAATTTTGAGTGACTGGGTGAACTAATTATGAGTGATTTTGTGATGTGGTTCATATCTCAGCCTATAGGAAAAGCTTGGTCTTGTTTTCTTCCTGACTCCTGAGTCCTAGCTTACAGTGAAGTGCAGTGAAAGACGACGGAGCCAGCAGAGAACTCAGTTTGTAGGATTTTGCTCTGCATCTATCACAGATAGATCGTGCAAAAGTACCTTTATCTTGGCATGAATTATCTACCTTAAGTGTCTTACTTTTACTTGGATAAATGTGTAAAATCACAACTGTTAATTAGTTTTAAGCCCCCTTTGTCAAAATAAGCTGTAATCAAGACCGTAAGTGGTTTTCTGGTTGAATAACAATGGGAGTAATGTGACCAGCTCGCAAATACACACAGGTGTGTGGATTGACTTCAGAGGATTAAGAGTAGCTAATGTATCAAGAAATTGCAGAATAATTAAAAGTTACTGTGATGCATTCAGAAGCCCACGCTGCTGCTGTTGCACATTGAGGACATCATACCAAGTCGACCATCGTGTGACAATGGCACCCTTTGCTGGATTCCTCTAGTTAAGTCATTTCTCTCTCAGAGTATTTTGTCTGACAACTTATTTCCTGACCACATTTGGTTTGACAAATCTTTTTCAGAAGGCTTTTTGGTTTGACAGCAATTTTTCTGATGACATTTTGTGTGACTATTTTTTCCTGATGACTTTTGGTTTGTCAACTTTTTTCTTTAAATTTGGCTTGACAACTTTTTTCCTGATGACATTTAGTTTGACAATTTTTTCCTGACAGCTTTGGATTGACAACTTTTTCCTGATGGCCTTTGATTTGAGAACTTTTTTCAAAAAAGATTTTGATTTGACTTTTTTTTTTCCCTGAAGCAGTTTTTTCTGATGGCTTTATTCCTGAGACTTTTTTGACTAACATTATTTAGTCAGAAGTCTGATGGTTTTTTGATTGAAACCCAGCATGTAACCTACGCCCTAAGTTTAGACGTGAAGGACAAAGACAAGAAGAAATTCAGCAGTTTCTGAATTGTGTTTCATGTGTTTCTGAAGTCATTTCTATCTAAGAGTATTTTGTCTGACAACTTATTTCCCGACCACATTTGGTTTGACAAATCTTTTCCAGAAGGCTTTTTGGTTTGGCAGCAATTATCCTGATGACATTTTGTGAGACAATTTTTTTTCCTGATGACTATATGTTTGACAACTTTTTTCCTGACAGTTTTTTGTTTCACTGCTATTTTCCTGATGACATTTGGTTTGACAACTTTTTTCTTTAAATTTGGCTTGACAACTTTTTTTCCTGATGACATTTAGTTTGACGATTTTTTCCTGACAGCTTTTCGATTGACAATTTTTTCCTGATGGCCTTTGATTTGAGAACTTTTTTCCAAAAAGATTTTGGTTTGACTTTTTTTTTCCTGCGAAGCAGTTTTTTCTGATGGCTTTATACCTGAGACTTTTTTGACTGACATTATTTAGTCAGAAGTCTGATGGTTTTTTGATTGAAACCCAGCATGTAACCTACGTCCTAAGTTTAGAAGTGAAGGACAAAGACAAGAAGAAAATTAGCAGTTTAAAAGGCATCCCTTCAAAAATACACCCTCCTACAAACACATCTGTATAGAGAAAAAAAAATCACGTCTTGCTGCAATCATCAGCAGCATTGGTGGTTCAGCGGGAGGCCCGGGTTCGATTCCCGGCCAATGCAGCACTTTACTTTTCCCCCATAATCCTCACCAGAAACAAAGAATAAATACAACTAATTTTGAGTGACTGGGTGAACTAATTATGAGTGATTTTTGTGATGTGGTTCATATCTCAGCCTATAGGAAAAGCTTGGTCTTGTTTTCTTCCTGACTCCTGAGTCCTAGCTTACAGTGAAGTGCAGTGAGAGACGACGGAGCCAGCAGAGAACTCAGTTTGTAGGATTTTGCTCTGCATCTATCACAGATAGATCGTGCAAAAGTACCTTTATCTTGGCATGAATTATCTACCTTAAATGTCTTACTTTTACTTGGATAAATGTGTAAAATCACAACTGTTAATTAGTTTTAAGCCCCCTTTGTCAAAACAAGCTGTAATCATGACCCTAAGTGGTTTTCTGGTTGCATAACAATGGGAGTAATGTGACCAGCTCGCAAATACACGCCGGCGTGTGGATTGACTTCAGAGGATTAAGAGTAGCTAATGTATCAAGAAATTGCAGAATAATTAAAAGTTACTGTGATGCATTCAGAAGCCCACTCTGCTGCTGTTGCACATTGAGGACATCATGCCAAGTCGGCCATCATGTGACAATGGCACCCGTTGCTGGATTCCTCTAGTTAAGTCATTTCTATCTCAGAGTATTTTGTCTGACAACTTATTTCCTGACCACATTTGGTTTGACAAATCTTTTCCAGAAGGCTTTTTGGTTTGGCAGCAATTATCCTGATGACATTTTGTGAGACAATTTCTTTTCCTGGTGACTATATGTTTGACAACTTTTTTCCTGACAGTTTTTTGTTTCACTGCTATTTTCCTGATAACATTTAGTTTGACAATTTTTTCCTGACAGCTTTTGGATTGACAACTTTTTTCTGATGGCCTTTGGTTTGAGAACTTTTTTCAAAAAAGATTTTGGTTTGACTTTTTTTTTTTCCTGTGAAGCAGATTTTTCTGATGGCTTTATTCCTGAGACTTTTTTGACTGACATTATGTAGTCAGAAGTCTGATGGTTTTTTGATTGAAACCCAGCATGTAACCTACGTCCTAAGTTTAGAAGTGAAGGACAAAGACAAGAAAAAAATTTGCAGTTTAAAAGGCATCCCTTCAAAAATAAGCCCTCCTACAAACACATCTGTATAGAGAAAAAAAAAATCACGTTTTGCTGCAATCATCAGCAGCATTGGTGGTTCAGTGGTAGAATTCTCGCCTGCCACGCGGGGGCCAACCGTGAATAGCTGTGACAGAGTGACAGCCAATGAAAATGCAGCATTCCTTGCTGGAGGATGCTGATGCTGAGCCACATCTAACCCATCACTTATCTTCCTTCCTGATCTGTTCAAACAGCGTAAAATAAAAGCTGTTGTTCAAATATTGTGATAAATAAGTGAAAGTGTTTTGTAAATGATTTTCAAATCCCATTTCATTAATCATTTTACTAGTAATTATTTTAGTGTAACTCATACCTCTATACTGTATATTAAATACTACCAAGTAAAGTAAAATGTAATCACATATGAACCATCACATTTGTTGTTCTTCTGCTTTAAGCTATTAAACTTTGAATTTGATTTGTTCATATTTATGACAACAGAAAATGTTCTCACAAAAATATTTTATTGCCAAAGCTTTTCAAATGCAGCAGTCACAGTGAGTATTTTGTTCCTTTCACAACTGCAAGGTTTGTTTATGTGTTGCTCCAGACAAACTGAGCCAGCAGATGTTGATATGTACAAGTAGCTGCTGTAAGCAACAATTTAAATAACATTTTGCTGCAAGTAATGATAGAACAATTTTTTTTTTAATTTAACATGAACCAGATGGTATTTTAACAGAAAAACAATATACATTATATACAAAGAAACAAACTAGTCCCAATGTTCCTGTGACAAACCAAAATAAACAGAAGTACAGATGTTAAACTTACACTTGCAAATTTACATCTGATCAGTAACCTAGAGGATAAAAAAACAATGAAACAATCCTCTGAGGATTTACAACATTTTCTATTTACATAAATACACTAAACCCAAGTTGTTCACTTGTTCTTTTCCTCCACCCATCTTTGTTTTTCCACCTCGTAGAAAGGAGACTTACTGAACTCCTTCCAGCTCATCTCTTTGACCATTCCCTGGCTTTGGTAAAGAGCGAACACCTTGGAGGGACAGTAAATATATTTTCCTGCCACTCCGGGGAATCCTGTGTGGATGTGTGGGCTGTTGGGTCCCTGTTTCAGCTCCATGTGACAGAACCTACAGAGACGGCCTGCTGGTGCCGATTCTGTCCTTTGCCTTTTCTTTTCAGTCTTCTCCTGCACTCGCATCTTGGTTGCATCCAGTTCTCTCTGAAAAAAGTCAGTGGTTGAAAAGTCTTCAAATGACATTGTAGGGTTAGAGAGTCCTTCAGCAGCATAGCTCTGGTGCACCTTTTGTGAGCAGTAAAAATACCGCACAGGCCCCTGTTGATAGAAAAAGTGGATCGAGGATCCATCAGTTTCATATCGAGACTTTGGCTGTCCGCAGGAAAGACAGGTCTTTGTCTGTCTTTTCTTTTGCTCTGGCGGGAGCTGCTGCTGCTGCTCCTGCTGCTGCTGTTTGCTCAAAATGCCCTCTACGATTTTTTCCAGAGAGTGTTGAGTCAGAGGTGAGGACAAAGCAGGTGCAGGAGGGTTGAAAGTAGCTGGCTCAATAGTGACCACAGGAACATGGGATGACTCACTCCCCTCTGTTAAAGAGTGCCACAGTTGTTGTGTATCCTTCAGTTTCTCTGGGCTTATGTTCAAAGAAGAACTGGTGTTGAGCAGTTTCACCAGGTGCTTCACGTAGCGGGAGATGTGCAGTCTGGTGGTAGGATGCAGAAGGCTGTTAGGATCAGCAGCAGCTCGATGAACAATGGCTGCGTATTCCTGATCCACAAGCTTCAGCATCTCCTTGTCCCCACGGTGCTTCTGCAGCAGGTCATCAATGGCCTCTTTCATGGGCGGTGTCCAGCGTGTGTGATCCAACACAAAGACCCGCCCACCTGTTTTTATGGGTCCGACGCGGGCGCTACTTGGGTAGGCTCTCAGAGGCAGAGGTGGAGCACACGAAAGATCTGAAGCACAATGAAACGGTCGTGCTTACTCGGCTGATTGGTGAACTGTCTACAATAAAATGCAAATATGTAGAAAACATTTCAGTGGCTTACCTGGTGTGGCTAGAAATTCCTGGACATCTTCTTTCAGGAGGTCACCAGCAGAGAGTAGAGGGCTGACAGATGGAGCTGAACCCAAGTTGGAGGTTGACGCTGGAGTTGGAACTTGAGCCGAGATGGATGAATGCACAGGAAGCAGGAATGGAGCAGATGATTCACCTCTCTTCTGAGTCCTGTGTTTGTCCCAGTCAAGAGGGACCGGTCGGCAGCCTGGCTCTATGTACTCAAGTCCAAATCTTTCGCCGGTGTCCCTGTCAGAGACTCTGAGAGTGGGATATTTCTCCTGTCCAGTCACTCTCTTGTAAGAGCTGTTTAATTCAGCTATTAAAGCTGGATCAAATACAGCTGGCAGGACAACGTCTGGTCGCTTAAGGTCCACCAGTCGTTGGTAGTTCCATCTTGCCACTCCTGTCATTCCCTGCGCCTGAAACAGTTCAGTGGAGGCATGGGTTCCAGTGATCCACTGGGCTTGGTGGAAATGGTACCCCTCTTGCTGTGATGTACCTCTGACAGGAATCCATATGTTGACCTTTGCTCCTTCTCCAGGTACATGGTTAAGCTGAAGAGTGCCACCATACCTGTACATGATCCTCTCGGAGATTTCAGGGTCACTGAGGCATCCACGGAGAATATGCACTCGCTGTATGCGCCACGTCTTCAGCATGGAGGGTTTAAACAGAGGGACATCATTTGGATCCTTGGCCAGATGAAAATGGTTGATCACCTTTTCCACTCTGTCCAGGAGCTCTGTGGGCTGTGGTATCTTGGTCCTGCAGTGCTCCCGTATGTGTTGTTTGGTGGGATTGGCTGGCCGGATACCACAGAATTCGTAGGCGTCCCGGAGCTTCTTGAGGTCCTCCTGATCCACCACAGAGAAGGCAGCAGAGAGAAGCTGGCAGAAACTGCTGTAGAGGGGGTGATGCTCAGACGTGCACTCCCGTGAAAAGCGCCTGAGGCAGTGAAACAAGTCCAGTTTTATGGCAATGTTGGGGTTGTAATGGGATCGAGAGGCACTAGTATTAGCCAGGGGTCCAGAGGTAGCAGCATTCACAATGGCAGGGGTTGTCTTCCAAGCATCCCAGAGTAAATGTTCACCAGGGATGGAGTCTGGGATCTTGAAAGAAGCACAGCAATCCCTGATCGGAAGATACACAAAGATGCAGAATAATTAGAATCATTCTTATGTTTTTGACTGCTGTGTTTGGTCTCTGAGCACCAGGTTTCCTGGTTCTGTTAGGATGATGTCATCAAACAGCTGGTCATGATCTCGATAAACAATAAACACTTATTCCTAATGTTTTTCCTTTTGCATCACTGTGTATTATAACAGTTTCATGAATTTCTTCCAACATTTTCTAATTTATTAGAAAAGTATTTTTTTAAAATAAAATTAAAGAATTGTGTTTTCGTTAGTCAACCATTTGTTTCTTCTCCTAATCACTAAGGTTGCACATTAAAACAGACATAATCAAACACACAATCATGATCATTAGCAGGCTAAAAGGTAAAGAAGAGAGAAGATGTCTGCTCTCACCTGTCCACCCAGTGGTAGCCTGCCTTCTCCACTTCAGCTTCAGCGTACCTCCTGGCCACTCCCTCGTACATCGGCTGCAAGGACCTCTCAGCCTCAGACTGAACCATCACCCAGGAAACAATCAACCAGTTTTCGTTCATGATCGCAAAGCTAGACATTGTCCCTGATGCAAGTGTCACTTTGCGTGCAACTTTTCTGGTGTGGTCAGACCTGAAGATTTGTCCAAAAGATCCTTGAAGGAGCCTGGACATGACTGGCTCTTGGCGTCTGTACTCTTCCAGCAGACAGTCAGTGAGGTAGAAGCTGGAAACAGAAATTCCACACCACCCACTGCCATCTTCATAGGAGCCAAAAGGACGTGGTGCATTGTCCTTTCTCACAAACTGCCCAATGGTCTTCTGTCCATGAACCCCTGCCTCAGCATCCCAAACGCTCTCGATTGCCTGCAGGTATGCCAGGTGAGCTCGCTCATATTTGAGATGCATGAGTTCATTCACCTGGTTTGCCATGTCTGATGGTGATTTGCCCGTGCGCCTCAGCTCATCCATTACAGACTTGCAGATGGCCTTCTTATATGTCAGGAATGCAGGCAGAATGTTTGTGAAGTGGCTGGGCAGCTTTTGCAGCCACCGGGGACTGTCTGCAAACCAGTTTCTCCGACAGGACTTGCAACAAAGTCTGGAGGAAAAGATATAATACTGTCCACCGGTGCCAACAATCACCCGAGGCCTACCCACGCCAGCAGAGACCACCTGAGGATGATGACACCCATGAAGACAGGGCAGGATGTAATTGTTCCTCAGTCTGATCATGATGTTACTTTCAGGCTTCCAGATGAAAAACGGGTGCAGCTGAAAGAAGTTGGGTGATGGGAGGTCGGCCACTGTGTCGATCAGCTCTGGTTGTGGAGGAAGACGCCAGAGGGAAACTGCGTTCCCAACGATGCGAACGGGACGAGAGCCAGGCCACAGTCCGAGATCCTGTAGTTCTGTCCTCATCCACAGTTTCTGGTGCTGAGAACAGCTCCAGCTGTTCATATCGAGGTCCCGGTCAGGCAAGAGTGAAGGAGCAGGTGGCTGGGCTGAGGAAACTGATATTCAAAAAGACAGATGATTTTAGAGTCCTTTCAGTCAAAACAAATGTTAAAGAATGTGTGGAACAAATGATAAAGCTAAAGTTAAGTAAACAAGTCAAAAAAGAAGCTGTCTAGATGATTTCCACTCTCACCCTTTTCACCTCTGTCTTCAAAATCCAGCACTCTCTGTGCAGAGGAGCCAGCAGATCTTGTGTTTGAATCTGAAAAATGGAGCCATCTTTCTGTTATTGTTTCAGGAATAATGGATCAGATCAAATCATTTGACGTAGTTGTGTAATTATCAGCAATAAACAGAGGTTTAGTTCAATATTAGTGGAGATCTACCGTTAGATGACTCCAGGCTCTTTGTGAAGCTCGATGTTTCCTTTGCCAGGAAGGCGAGCTCTGGTGGCAGGGCCGCAGGTGTCTTCCCTTGTTTACTGGTAGGGACTGGTCCCAGAACAAGGTAAAGAAAAAAAAGTCTTCATGTAGCCTTGATTAAAATAAAACAGTTGAGAAACAGAGCTTGAATCTTCTCACCATCAACTGCTGAGGTTTCCAGTTGCTCTGATGCATCAGGAGGAGGTCTGGACAGCGTTGCAGACGGGACTAAAACAGAAAAGGCAGTAGTTATTCCAGCAGTTACAGAGTGTGCAGGTGTTGGTGTTAGTATGAACTCAAACTCACACAGTTACTTTTCCTGCTTACCACAGCTTTACACATAATACTGGAAAGGTCAGAAACAACCTCTTACTAATCAACCTAAGCAGGAGGAGTAACAGCACCCAGTGCACAAGCATGCATTCAACTTATAGTGCAAACCCCCACTTCAATGTTTTTAGTGTACAAGACATGCAAAAAAATAAAAATAACATACTCACTGTGTCTGGAATCACATCTTCTCAGCAGGAATCAATTCATAGTCCTGAGGACTTTTAGTGTAACAGTAGGAAGAGACACATGGAACAGGAACCTGGCCAGAACGTGGCCATAACAAAAAGCAAAGGCAGAACACAGAAGGTCATGGCTCAGTTTAGGATGGCAATTCTTCATGCAAGAGAATAGCTCTCCAGTCCTGAAACCTCTCATTTAAAAACCTGGTTTTGCTCGTGGAAGTAGTCTTGACACATCCTCGTCTCTTTTTGCTGCAGCTACAGCAACTGGTTACACACACAAAAGCAAACATCTAGAAATGAGATACACATCTGCAAGAAAGGCTCAAGAATTAACTGACTGTATTAACAGTGTTACTGACTGCTCGTGCTCAGCAGGTCAGAGGGTGAGATGTTCAACATGGCGCTCTCCAACTCTTTGTCCTCGTCCATTACTGTAGTGTGGACAAAGATTACAGCACACAGAATGACAAATATGATATCAGTTCAGGATAAATGTTAAACATTACATGTTTCTGTCATTTCAAAAATGAACATGAATCAAGTTTCTTACGCAGAGGTTCAGGTGGCACACTTGTATCCTGTTCAGTGGGTGTAGAAGCTGAGGCAGATTGATGTCTGCCCTGCAGGTACTGCTGCAGCTTCTTCATGCGTGTCCCGGGGAGGCAACTCTTTTTCAAGATGAAGTCCGCATACCCATCAGCTCTACTGTCCCAGATTTCCTTCCATGTGCTTTTGGCCCGGGAGCCAAAGCCAACCTGCTGCTCATCTTCAGAAGAGGCTTTGACAACACCTGCCTCGTAGCCGAGGACAGACTTGATCTCTGCAAAACTGAGAGCAAACTTAACAAATGTCTGCAGGCTGACCTTGCTGTGATCCTCAGCCGAGCTACAGAGACCCAAATCCTCCTCCTTCTGGCGGTTCTTAATGAGGTACAGAGTGTATCCCACATCATTTTCTAAAAGCCACCTGAAAGACTTTCCTTTATATTTTCCAAATTGAAGGATGTAGTCTCCCAGCAGCTCTGTAATGTCTGTGGTATCCCCTCCTCTCCTACGAACTGTGGCCAAAGCATTTTGCCGTACCAGGTCCTCCTTCATGGACGCAGACCTGTCCTGCAAACTGGGGTCATCCTTGATGCGCTTGGCTTCAGGAGAGGGCGCCTGCAGGAGATATCCAAGGGGCCCCTTACGGAAAACCACGCTCAGCTTTCCTGGATAAAATACCATTTTCCTCTGCATCTTCGCCTGGTAAAGTTCAAGGACATTTTTGATTTAATTATTAGACACAACATTATAAAATATTTTAAGATTTGCTTGCATAGTTTTGATAATCATGTCTTTGTTCTGGAGCTGATTAACTTCAATAACAATTCTATCAAATAATGAACCCACTAAAACTGTGTGTGTGTGTGTGTGTGTGTGTGTGTGTGTGTGTGTGTGTGCATCTTCTGTTCTCATTACAACATTCTAAAGATACAACTGCAAACAAGATGAAGAGAGGCTGGGTAATATTTATTACTGTCATCAAACCTCACTCGACTATCTGCCTTTATTAAACCCATATCTTTATTTATTGGTTTGATTAACAAACTAGACAAACTATTCCTTAGTAGTAAAGCTCATTTGATCCTCTTATCTTTGTAACACAACACCAGTTATGTGACTCGCTGTCTGTATTATAGAATCAAATAGAAAACAATAGCACTTTGAGGAGGTTTAAATAAAGTTTCTTAAAGAATTGTTGCTTCTCACCTGAGGAACTCTGTCAGCACAACCTGGAATAGCTGGTAGTGGGTTGTTTCTGATGAACAAGCTGTAATCACATGTAAATCACCCTAAGAAGTCGATGATCTCACTGGGGACGGTGCCTCACTGTATTCCTGGCTCCACCTCCTCACACACTGAAGATCAGAGACTGTAGAAAGAGAAAAGAAGGTGAAGATACAGGCAGCCTTTGAAGGTCATAGACATAGGGGTTAATGCACCAGGCTGTGGTGTGAGTGACTCAGACGGATGCAAAATCACTGCTGAATGTTCAAGAAATAGCTTGTATTTTATTATTTCTTTCAGTGACACAGAGCAGTCAGGCACAAATTAAAGTCCAAAAAATAAGTATACTTATTCAGCCATCAAACATTCATTTTTTGAATTGTAAGTACTGAGTTGGGCCAGGAAAGCTGATACCTATATTAATGTTATTTTTTTGTTTAGTTTTTATTTATTAATTTTTTTACTTGTATTTATTTTACAGAGTTTACAAGACAAAAAAGCATTACTTGAAAAAACCACTGCTGTGTTGTTTACAAATAACAAAATAATACCAAAGTTAATATAAAACCATAATTATCTTCTATATTTTTGCAATTTTTTCATTAGTTTTAACCGTAGAACTATGATCCTGAAGTGTTTACTTTTGAATTTAGCGTTTAGCGTGTATAGCGTTGCTACTCGTATCCTAGCAACGCAGTACGTTCGGAAACAACACCTCCAATCCTTGTAATCTGCATTCATATCAACAAAACTTACCTTATAACAGTCTAACCGAAGATTAAAGAATACTTTTAATCCGCTCCGCTGCTAATCAGTCCTGTCTCTACCGAAGTGGTTAGCAAGTGAACTACCGTTTCAGGCAGCTTCCTAGAAGAGAGAAGAGCGCAACAGCGCCACAATGCGTAGTGGTCAAAAATATATTACATCCGTAGTGGTTTAGGACTACCATTGGGAATGAATGAGATTTGGTTTAGGGGCGTTTAGCTAAACAATTCTCGGTCCCAGCGCGGGAGGCCTGGGTTCGATTCCCGGCCAATGCAGCAGCTTTCTTTTCCCCCATAATCCTGACCAGAAACAAAGAATTAATACCATTAATTTTGAGTGACTGGGTGAACTAATTATGAGTGATTTTGTGATGTGGTTCATATCTCAGCCTATAGGAAAAGCTTGGTCTTGTTTTCTTCCTGACTCCTGAGTCCTAGCTTACAGTGAAGTGCAGTGAAAGACGACGGAGCCAGCAGAGAACTCAGTTTGTAGGATTTTGCTCTGCATCTATCACAGATAGATCGTGCAAAAGTACCTTTATCTTGGCATGAATTATCTACCTTAAGTGTCTTACTTTTACTTGGATAAATGTGTAAAATCACAACTGTTAATTAGTTTTAAGCCCCCTTTGTCAAAATAAGCTGTAATCATGACCGTAAGTGGTTTTCTGGTTGAATAACAATGGGAGTAATGTGACCAGCTCGCAAATACACACAGGTGTGTGGATTGACTTCAGAGGATTAAGAGTAGCTAATGTATCAAGAAATTGCAGAATAATTAAAAGTTACTGTGATGCATTCAGAAGCCCACGCTGCTGCTGTTGCACATTGAGGACATCATACCAAGTCGACCATCGTGTGACAATGGCACCCTTTGCTGGATTCCTCTAGTTAAGTCATTTCTCTCTCAGAGTATTTTGTCTGACAACTTATTTCCTGACCACATTTGGTTTGACAAATCTTTTTCAGAAGGCTTTTTGGTTTGACAGCAATTTTTCTGATGACATTTTGTGTGACTATTTTTTCCTGATGACTTTTGGTTTGTCAACTTTTTTCTTTAAATTTGGCTTGACAACTTTTTTCCTGATGACATTTAGTTTGACAATTTTTTCCTGACAGCTTTTGGATTGACAACTTTTTCCTGATGGCCTTTGGTTTGAGAACTTTTTTCAAAAAAGATTTTGATTTGACTTTTTTTTTCCCTGAAGCTGTTTTTTCTGATGGCTTTATTCCTGAGACTTTTTTGACTAACATTATTTAGTCAGAAGTCTGATGGTTTTTTGATTGAAACCCAGCATGTAACCTACACCCTAAGTTTAGACGTGAAGGACAAAGACAAGAAGAAATTCAGCAGTTTCTGAATTGTGTTTCATGTGTTTCTGAAGTCATTTCTATCTAAGAGTATTTTGTCTGACAACTTATTTCCTGACCACATTTGGTTTGACAAATCTTTTCCAGAAGGCTTTTTGGTTTGGCAGCAATTATCCTGATGACATTTTGTGAGACAATTTTTTTTCCTGATGACTATATGTTTGACAACTTTTTTCCTGACAGTTTTTTGTTTCACTGCTATTTTCCTGATGACATTTGGTTTGACAACTTTTTTCTTTAAATTTGGCTTGACAACTTTTTTCCTGATGACATTTAGTTTGACGATTTTTTCCTGACAGCTTTTCGATTGACAATTTTTTCCTGATGGCCTTTGGTTTGAGAACTTTTTTCCAAAAAGATTTTGGTTTGACTTTTTTTTCCTGCGAAGCAGTTTTTCTGATGGCTTTATACCTGAGACTTTTTTGACTGACATTATTTAGTCAGAAGCCTGATGGTTTTTTGATTGAAACCCAGCATGTAACCTACGTCCTAAGTTTAGAAGTGAAGGACAAAGACGAGAAGAAAATTAGCAGTTTAAAAGGCATCCCTTCAAAAATACACCCTCCTACAAACACATCTGTATAGAGAAAAAAAAATCACGTCTTGCTGCAATCATCAGCAGCATTGGTGGTTCAGCGGGAGGCCCGGGTTCGATTCCCGGCCAATGCAGCACTTTACTTTTCCCCCATAATCCTCACCAGAAACAAAGAATAAATACAACTAATTTTGAGTGACTGGGTGAACTAATTATGAGTGATTTTTGTGATGTGGTTCATATCTCAGCCTATAGGAAAAGCTTGGTCTTGTTTTCTTCCTGACTCCTGAGTCCTAGCTTACAGTGAAGTGCAGTGAGAGATGACGGAGCCAGCAGAGAACTCAAGTTTGTAGGATTTTGCTCTGCATCTATCGCAGATAGATCGTGCAAAAGTACCTTTATCTTGGCATGAATTATCTACCTTAAATGTCTTACTTTTACTTGGATAAATGTGTAAAATCACAACTGTTAATTAGTTTTAAGCCCCCTTTGTCAAAACAAGCTGTAATCATGACCCTACGTGGTTTTCTGGTTGCATAACAATGGGAGTAATGTGACCAGCTCGCAAATACACACAGGTGTGTGGATTGACTTCAGAGGATTAAGAGTAGCTAATGTATCAAGAAATTGCAGAATAATTAAAAGTTACTGTGATGCATTCAGAAGCCCACGCTGCTGCTGTTGCACATTGAGGACATCATGCCAAGTCGACCATCATGTGACAATGGCACCCTTTGCTGGATTCCTCTAGTTAAGTCATTTCTATCTCAGAGTATTTTGTCTGACAACTTATTTCCTGACCACATTTGGTTTGACAAATCTTTTTCAGAAGGCTTTTTGGTTTGACAGCAATTTTTCTGATGACATTTTGTGTGACTATTTTTTTCCCGATGACTTTTGGTTTGTCAACTTTTTTCTTTAAATTTGGCTTGACAACTTTTTTCCTGATGACATTTAGTTTGATAATTTTTTCCTGACAGCTTTTGGATTGACAACTTTTTCCTGATGGCCTTTGGTTTGAGAACTTTTTTCAAAAAAGATTTTGATTTGACTTTTTTTTTCCCTGAAGCTGTTTTTTCTGATGGCTTTATTCCTGAGACTTTTTTGACTGACATTATTTAGTCAGAAGTCTGATGGTTTTTTGATTGAAACCCAGCATGTAACCTACGCCCTAAGTTTAGAAGTGAAGGACAAAGACAAGAAGAAATTCAGCAGTTTCTGAATTGTGTTTCATGTGTTTCTGAAGTCATTTCTATCTCAGAGTATTTTGTCTGACAACTTATTTCCTGACCACCTTTGGGTTGACAAATCTTTTTCAGAAGGCTTTTTGGTTTGGCAGGAATGATCCTGATGACATTTTGAAAGAATTTTTTTTCCTGATGTTTTTGGTTTCACAGCTATTTTCCTGACGACATTTGGTTTGACAACTTTTTTCCTGACAGTTTTTGGTTTCACAGCTATTTTCCTGACGACATTTGGTTTGACAACTTTTTTCTTTACATTTGGCTTGACAACTTTTTTCCTGATGACATTTAGTTTGAGAATTTTTTACTGACATCCTTTGGATTGACAAATTTTTTGTTGATGGCTTTAGGATTGATAACTTTTTTCCAAAATGATTTTGGTTTGACTTTTTTTCCCCATAAGCTGTTTTTTCTGATTGTTTTTCTGATGGCTTTATTCCTGAGATTTTTGGACAGATGCTATTAAGTCAGAAG